CAACAAATTTTCAGTTAATTATTTGTACCAGTATGAGAGCACAATTTTCAGTTGTTGTTTTTTTATACACCTTTCCCTCAGAGTTTTAGTGTGTCCATTTTATTTCTGTAAACTAATGTGTTTTTATATCTAGTTTTAGTTTTTAGTTTAGATTTCGTTAACTATAAAAACCTTGGTGTTACTGTAAATCCCAGCAAATCTTGTAGCGCTCAAGAATGAGAGAGAACACTAACATCTTCTGATTAAATCCTAGTTATTCCAACCTTTTACTTTCATTTAGCTACTTAATTGAGATTTCTCATCATTTAACTTTAAACAAACTCTGCTATATTAAGATTTCTTCCAAAGAACATGAAAGAAAGAAAAAACCTCAGAAATGCAGCTCACGATGAGCTTCCTTGTCTTTGTCCTTGGTTAGAAATCTTTTGAAGTCTTCCTCTTCAGTTTCTTTCATGTCTACCTGTCCCTCACTGAACACTAAAGTCGCTTCATGCCTCTTTGCTGGAGAAAAAAAAAACCCACCCTGGGTTCCCTTCGAATGAGTGTTAAATAACAAACATTAGGTAAGACCATATACCCTGAGCTGCATAAATCTACATAACTCCACAGTACTTTTCATGATCATGATGATGCAGTAAGATACACAAGCCAGCGAGGTGAAGCAAATCACACAGGTCATGATCACTGGTGATGGGTTTCCCTGGCAACTGTTAGGTTCTTTGAAAAACGTCCTCTGTGGTCTGAATTCCACCTAAACATGGTTTCTTGAGAAAAGGAAACACTAATGAGGAAACACTTTCCAACAGGGATCTGCTGCACGATAATGGCTGGCACTGGCTTCCCAGCTGCGCTCACCCACAGGCATGAAATGGTACATTTCAAAACCGCAGACGCAACTTAATGCACAGCTATTCTCAAGCGATGGCTGACTTACACCAGGATTAATTAGCAGACATGAAAACCTAAATAGATGCAACTAAATGCAACTATTATGTCATGTTTACATTCTTACTAATTCGGGAAGGGGAATTGATTGAATGCTTTCTGATACTGTTGATATCAATATTGTCAACCTACATTCATGTTTTCTACTGAAATGCTTTTGAGCAAAGCATGTCATTGCTACTTAATCATTCCCCTGACAGGCAAACTGGATGAGAGTAAAAGAAAAAAGAAAACGTTTCTAAATGAGCTTGCAATATTAGGATGAGTGCGGGCACTATGAGGACACTATCTGAAATCTACTAGTGTATTGGCTCTTATTTTGAAAGTTCAGACGCTGCCTAGAAGAAAGCACAGTCCTTTCCTTTTCCTTGCGATTTCCCTACCAGCTGGCTCGTAAACCAGTTTGCTGCATTGGTCTTGAGATCATTCACCTTTGCTTTAACAAACACAGATGATTCAGTGTCCTGCTCAAGCACCCTTGTGCATTTGAGGGAGTAGGGCTCAAACCTCTAACACTGCAAACTTTTCAATTCACAACAGCGATACTACTACTTCCCCTGCATCTGTAACCTCTGGTGTCAGAGGTTACACAGGACCCTGGGCTTTTTTGGAAAGTATCCATTCACTTTTGATGAAAAAAAGTCAACATCCTAATGAGAAGAATTCATCACAAAGCCATAACTGCTGTGAAATTGCAGTGTAAAAAGGGTTTGTGATCCTATACATCAGCTTGAGTATTGGATTGTAGCATCTGTGTGTCGGTGAGAGTGTGGGTAAGTGTGAGGGAGGCGTCAACAGCTCCTGGAGGCTTCCACACTGCAGCTGTTGGAGACAAAAAAGTTAGAGAATATGTCGCTGTTTGTTCGATTTGTGTGGGTGCTGATGAAAGACATTTGTTGCTTCTTTTCTAATCAAACCTCCTACGAGCTCGGAGCCGCTTGCCGCACATACAGCGTGATGAACACATCAGCTGACTAAATTGAGCATTCATGAGATTATAAAGACATTCCTCAATGTAATGTGCTATGCGCACTGATAGTAAGAGATGTGATGATGGAGCGTCGCTAATTACTCATCAACATAATGTTCATCTCACACTTGTTTATAGGGTTAGCCTAACTGGCTGTTGACTGTATTGGATAAAAATCCACAAGGGTCGAACAAGCCTCGGGGATATAGCACATGTATGAAACCTTTGATATTGGAGCTATAATTTAAAAAAGGAAAACAGTTTCATTAACTGACATTAACATGAAACACAAGTACTCTGCTGTCTATTCAAAAATCTGAAAATATGACAATAATTGTGTTTTCTGTGCTACCAAAAGCAATGTTCAGGTAGATGTAGTGGATAAATGAGAAAAGTAAGACCTATATACGCAAATGCCTGCATGTTAATGTAAAGCAGGGGTGGGGAACTCCAGGCCTCAAGGGCCAGTATCCTGCAGGTTTTAGATATCAGCCTGGGTCAACACAACTAATCCAATGATTAATTCATTACCAGGTCTCTGGAGAACTTCAAGACATGTTGAGGAGGTAATTTAGCCGGTTAACTCAGCTGTGTTGGATCAAGGACATCTAAAAACTGCAGGACACCAGCCCTTGAGGTCTGGAGTTCCCCACCCCTGATTTAAAGGATGGTATGCTATCCTTTTCTGTAGCTCAACCTTCTCCTTTTTCCATCAACAAAGGTACTGCGCCAACTACACATTACTCCTGCAGTGCTCATCCATGGAAACCAATGCCATGAAGCTCATGACACATAGTTTTGGTGCTGATGTTATAGCGAGAAGAGGTTTGGAATTCTGCATTTATTCAGTGAGCAGAACGTTGTTGACTTTTACCATTTGCACTGTGCACCTCAGCACTCGGTGACCCTGTTCTGTAACTTTTTATGGTGTGTCATGGTCTAGAATAAAGGGCTATTCTATTCTTTTCTAGATAGGAAGAAATATTATGAACTGACTTGCTGCACTGGTGGCTTTCTATTACAGTACCTCACTCAAATTCAGTCAGGCCATTCTTTTACAATTGTCTTTAAAGGCAGACTACATGGAAAGGTGCTTGATTTCATAGACCTGAATTCAAAGGTTAAAGGTGTGGCCCGATACTTTCGCCCATATAGTGCTTGTCAATCAACTGTAAATAAATTACAAAAAAATATTAAAAATGACTCATTCTCTGCTAATGCTCTGAGTATGGTTTTGCTTTCAATTATGGGTTTGAGAAACCTTTGAAACAAACACCTGGTCCAGATGTTGGGGAAGGAATGAGTGGCTGACGCTGCTCGTCTGTATTGGGATATGAATAACAAGATTTGTCATGGTCCAAATGTATCCACAAAAATAAATACATAAATAAAGTCACATCCACAGAACTAGTGTGTGTGTTTGTGTGTATATATAGCAAGATGTTCATTTGCACATTTTCTAATATCTTCATTTTCTAACAGAAAATAGAAAATTAATAAAACATTTGTTGTAGCCATCATCATCTCAAACAAATGCCCAACAAATGAATGGTAGTTAGTAGTGGGATCACTCCAAAAGACAAGATGTTGTTTTGTTTGGGAGTGAACTGTCCCTTTAAATCAGATGTGATTAGGAAACAGATGAACAGAATTTAAGAGCCTTTTTTGCTACAGGATTCAGTGATTCATTCTTTAAAAGCCTGCTGTAACAACGTTAACACTGTATCTTATCACAGGCTGAAGAGAAACGACACCCAGGTCAACCCAGCCTAAACAGTGCTCCACTCTGACATCTGCGCCACTTCAAGTCACAAACCACTGGAGTGGAAACCGAGTGCAGATCTTTCTTCTGGCTCATCTTATAGATTTTAACATAACTCCAAGTTATGTAATGGCGCAGCACAAGAGATGTAGTTGACAAGCCGTGAAAGGCCAATGGTTTCCTGCAAACCAGCTTGTAGCCTTATAATCAAAGCAGCCCTGACAGAATTGGATTTAGATATGCAAACATGCACAGGTTCTATTAATAACCAATGACCTTTACTTGCAAAATTTCCTTTCATGACCCCCCCCCAAAAAAAAAGAAAAAAGAAAAACATCTGCGTGAAATTTCTAGTCAAAGAAATTAAACATACATGTCTCTGAACTGTCGTTTATTATCCTATCCCACTGTTTCCACATGACTTCCACCCTCTTCCTTGGATTATTTAGTGTGTGCACCCATGAATGAACTAACAGCTTCACTGCGCAGTGGTCTGTCTGCTCCATAGGATTAGGCCATGAGCCCCCAACTGCCGGTGACAAACTGAAAACTAAAAACGCCAACAGCATATGGCGCAGGGGTTTATGGGATTACTCAATTAACAAGGTGACTCAGAGAGATACTAATCTGCAAAATGTTTCTTCGACTGAAATGCATGCAGTGGAGTAGAGTCTTTTGAGCACCCAATACCCAATTAAACACACACAGAGACACCTCCGTGTGTGGGGGTGTGGTTAAGCAGCCAGGTATAATTGTATTAAATGTAAAGCCATGCGCGTTCAAGCTCTTCGGGTGCTCATACCAACAAACTACCCAACGACGTTCATTCACAGAGGCAAAAACAACGTGCACCGCTGCTGTCAGCGGGAGGCTCATTAATTGTAATTATCCTGACACAAAGTGCGCCGCAGGCAGAAACACCACCTTCAAGTGCGTGCTGTGAGCGCTGAACGGGGCGCATGACGCACAACTGGACCAATCCGCAAGTGGACACCTTTTTCACGCAGTGAGACCGAAGAAGCGCTATAAAATTCAAAGTTTTGATTCCTAACCCAATATCCACAAAACTAGAATAAATATTTATGTGCCTAATTCATAAAAACGTTTAAAAAAGTCAATTTGTAATCCAGTATAATAACCTGCAGTTTCTCTCTTGTTCGTGTCCCTGTTTGCGTCCCACAAGACAACCAAGCGGGAACAACACTCATAGATTCTCATAACTTATTCCCCCATGACTTCCATATACATTTCAGACACGTTGCCCAGGGCTCGGTCTGCATTTGTTGTGCTGTAGCCACCGTGAGCTCGATTGGGGATGCTTACCGTGTGGAAAAGCATTGGGTTGTACCGCATACAGGAAAGCATGGACCATGTGGAACAGAATCCCTATCGGTCCAGGTTCGTAATGGGCCAGCGTCTCGTAAACTCCCGCTGGCACATAGCCGAAATTCAACTTTCCTGGGGGTGGGAGTCTCCGCGGCTCCGTCTCTTGCTGGAGTTCGCCGGATGCCAGCCACAGCAACAGCAGGAGGAGGGTTCCCGGCTTCCACATCGTGTCCAAACGAAACACCGACCTGTCGTGAAACTGGAACTAAATTCTCAGTGATCGAGAAAACTGGACGGCGACTGCCCGGAATCTTGATTATTATCGGAGTGGGGGAAAAGAGAGAATACAGATAAAAGTGTTCCGCAGCTTTTTAAGTCCTGCTTCCCACCGAGCGACTTGTTCCGAGCATCGTTCCCCGCGGTCTGGAGCTCTTAGACGGACGCAAATCGGACGATCTTCTCCCACGTCCCCTGTGTTCGATGCGTTTGGATGAGCGCGCCTGTCGCTTCCACTCCGGCATCTGTGCAGCACGGGGATGCGCTGCGTCACGGGAGCGGGCGATGGTGCGCGCCGCCGTTTGCAAAGGGAGGACGGGTCCAGAGGGAGGTGCTCCTCCTGCCGGGGAGAGGAAGTAGAATCTTAAAGATCTAACCTACTAACGTTTTGATTGGAGAGATTAGTTTGGGGCAGAACACGTTAAAACCACCTTTAGACAGTTTACATATATTGAAATGCCGTTTTGAGGCACTGTTCCCTCGGGTCTGCTGGAAATCATTCGATTTTATATTAGAAAATCATGCTTATCCAGCAATATTTGATTTTAGTATCACTTAAACATGTTTACAATTAATTCCTCACCTTTTGATAGCATTGGATTGTTTATAAGATCCATCTACACAACCCACATTAAGCGTTATTTTTAAAAATGCTGAGATGTGAGCTTGAAAAGAGACAATGAATGTTTTTTTTCCACAACAGGAATTCTAGTTGTGATAATAATGAAATCTTAGCTGTAATAAATATGCAGTGTTACTGTGTTAAGAAAGCTGATTAATTTTCAAATAAATACTTTAAACAGTTACAACTTTCATTTTCTTATATGACATTTGCAGCTAGCTTTCACCCACTGGTTAGTTTTAAGAACTAAAAACAAATTTTTTAGGGGGACACTATTGTGGCTGTGGGTTAAAATACACTGCTCCACAGAGGTAACCCTTCAAGTTGAAACATGCCAAGTTGGGAGGAAAAGTGATGTCTAATGCCAACTTTATGGTTTATGCACTAGGACACCTTGTTCCCTATAGGACAGTAGATTTGTTAAAAGCAGATTATTTTATTCCCCGGAAATGAGAATGACCGATTACATGTACATTTTCAGACCAGGTATTAAGCAGTATAAAGTCCATGTCGAATGTAATATGTGGTGCTCCAGTGGGTCAGGCAGAAGGCTTTTATCTGGGAGAGTGGGGTTGGGGTCCTGTGTGAAGCCAAAAGCAGCACTGAATTACATTTGCCAAGTATCAAACACCTGAGTATCCATGCACTGAAGAAAAAAGAGGAAAAAGGCTTTTTTTTTCTCTTTCACCTTTTCTGTTCACTGCAGCTTTAAATTGTCAGTTGTGGGGGAATATTATCATTATATCCACTACAGAAGTATAATTACTCTTATTTAAGTTAGACTCAAAGTTAATAAGCTGATTACAGCCTTAGATGTTCATGTGGGGCCATTCTGGCTGTTCCCAGGCTGAGGTTTAAATCTGAAGGTTGTTGTGTTTTCGCCATCTTAGATTCTGACTCTGGAACAACCTTCCTGAGGAGATGAGGTTTATGGAATGACTGACTTCCTTCAAATATCTTTTGAAAGCAGAGTTTTACTTACTTGCCTTTTTTCATTTCAGAAATTAGAAATGTAATTGTTATGCTCTTCAACATGTTCTTTAAATGTGAACAATACAATATCTTACATAATTTCTAATGTAAAAATGTTTTCTTGTATCAGCTATTCCCTAGTCAGCTTTCTCTTCTTCCCACTATCAGGCTCTTCACCTTCTTGACCTTTGACCTTTTCCCCCAGAGGGCAGACAGAGGATACCTGCGTGCAGCTCATAGGATTGATTTCATTGGCAGAGAAGCAAACAGGTGGGTTTTGCTTCTGTCTCTTTACACAGTAACATCCTTGTCCTCTTTCTGGAGTGCATGGGGCCCCAGCTCCTGGTGACAGAGGGGCATCCTGTTTGGAAACCTTTGATCACTGATTGTGAGCACATTTCTTCAGTGACAACACACATTCATTAGACCTGCAGAGGAGCAGATGAGACTTTCAGTTTTACAGACACATGATATGCTAGACTGAGGCAGTAGAATTAATTAGTAGATTCATTAAGAACAGTTTTTAGTGTATCTACAACTAAATGATCTCATTAAAAATATAAATGCAAGATTAAATTCTGTCCTCCTTTTTCATACTGCTCTAGAAAGACGATAAATTTAACACTTGCTGCATCATGACTACAGATAATTTTTCTCTTCTTTCAGCTGCTGATAGTCTTCCCTATATTGGTTTTAATAATTTTATCAAGTAAGATGTTTCAGAAATTGGAATGTAAATGACCACCATATCTTGCGTATGGATGTGGACTTTGTCCAAGTGTCACTATCATTCCCGTCAACCTTTCTCAAGACAAATTCCTGTCAGATCTGACAGAGCTGAAGCTCGTCTGTTCTCAGCAGTGTAAGGAGCTTAGCCCTCTAAGAATGTCTGTTACAGATTTACTCTGCCTGTCCTTCACTTCTGAACAGGTACTCAGGTACTGTGCAGCCCAGTATCAGGTCAGGCAGGGTTCATGGATAAAGCTTACAGGAAGTTTGACGGGGGGAAAAAAGAAGCACCTTGATGCTTCCTGTCATCAACAAAAAAAAGGAAATCCTAATCTGACTTTGTACTCTGAAAGCTAAAGCCACTGATGAGTGGTTCTTTAAATGGCTAAATTAAAAACATTCACTCAGTGACATCAGTTTATTTTCTCTTTATACTTCTGGAAGCACTGTAGGCCTGCATCTTTTTGTAGCCTGCATCCTTATCACACCACTGGTATCCGTCAGCAAAAAGTTTGCTCAACTGTCCTGCAAGCAAAGCAGTTTCTATGATTTCATTCATAGAGCTGTAAGAACTTTTTACCAATGAACGTTCGGTCTTGACCTTACAAAATCCCAACTCAAGATCCAGTTCCCAATGTTCATCCAGAGTTCGAGTGTATCACAGGGAGCGAGTGATACAGGTCAGGATCATCTGAAATGATGGATCATTAGATAACAAGCATTATCATATAATTTAATACAAAACGTTTGATGCTGCATTTGGGTAAGTAAAATAAGCTTGCGCATACTCACAGTGAACTTTAAAACATAGTTTCAGACTTGAAGTTTGAATAATTCTGATTCTCAGTCATGAACTTGAGTTAAACAGCAAATAATTTGAGGTTCGAAAGTGAACTTTTTCCAAATACATACCCTCAAAAACACAACCCAGAATGCTTTAGCTCTGCATGTAGCTACAATAAAACAGCACACTTAAGAAATCAACTTTATTACTCCAAATGGGCAAGTTCATACAATATCAAGGTAGGAATTAAATATGGAATCAAACTGAAGAAACAAAGCAGGCAGTGTACTGGACCATCGCAGCTTGCATAAGAGCACTTCTACAGTGCTTCTATATCCATTAACCCCGTTAAGCTCAGGTGTGCTCAGCTGGGCCCAGTTGAGGTTCGGTCAGATCTCCACTGCACACCTGGAACATCAGCACCAACTCTGTGTACAGTGAAGACTGAACCAGCTCCATCAGGCAGCTCCAAAAATAGATCGTCCTTATTACAATAAAGAAACGTTTCTCCAAAATACAATCAAACAGATGCTGATACATGTAAACACTATATACACCTTCTGTTTAAAAAAACAAAAAGCAAGCTTTCTTTGCCAAAATAACATTAAATATATCACTGTTAAGTATTTTACAACCAAAAAAGTACTTGTTTTTACATCCCCAAATAAAAGAAGCGATGGGCAGAGTGCGTCAAAAAAGCGGAACGTGAACACAAGTGACCTGAGTTTTTAATCTGATGATTATAAAATAATTAGTGTGAGTGAAGGGTTTGTCTAACTCTGCCATTTTTGATTAGCTGCTGTCAATCAAAATGCTAAGATCAACTTTGTAAACATGGAGGAAACAAGAAAGTGCTCAGTGATATATTGCCGTAATTTTACAATTCAGATCTGATGAAACAAAAGTGATTGAAAGATTTGGCACGAATTTGAATCATAAACTTCTAATAAAGTTACAAAAAATGTATTATGTTTAAACTAAATTACACAAATGGGTGTCAAATTAAAACTTGATGACATTCCTGGTCTCTTTAAGGTGTTTTTACTTTTAGATGATTCACACAATTTACAAAAAAAAAAAAAAAAAAAAAAAAAATCATAGCGAACAACTCTGCAAGGTCAGTCAAAAAAGAAAAGTCTTAAAACACACACGCAAAAGGCATTTTGTTGTGTAAATATTGCTTCTATTATCCTAAGATGTAAACATTAGAGCATCACTAGAGTCGAATGAGAAACATGACCGTATTTAAAGGCAATACGGCCCATCAGTGCATTCAAAAGTAACTAAAGATTAAATACCATTCATCAAAAAATTATGCTCCAATTTGAGGCACCCCACCAAAAGAGAACTCTTCCGATTGATTATGTCCATTTAACAGATAGTTTAAGACAGTTTACACGCAGCTAAGTGATTGGAAAATCAAGATTATAATGGGCTATGACATACAAATGCACTTTTTCCATAATTTTAAAAGGACTTCTGCTCTATGACTGGCTATGTAAGTGGGTGGTAGATGCAGCAGATTTAGAGTCAGCAGTCATTAACTGCTTTGGCTAATACTGTACGCTGACTGGGTTGTTTAATGAAAGGCTGTTGAGTTGGCGAAGGCGCAGGATGGCTGCAAATGTCTTTAGCTAATGGCTGTGTAAATGAATGTTTTTTAATCTAAAAAATAATCACTGTTTTTAGCTGTGTTTGCAACACCTGTAATTCATACTGGATTGAAAAATTTGAACCAGCTTCACTGAGGTACGGACTTTAATCAACAGATCTCTAATATTGACAGTGTGTAACCGTTCAGAGCCATGTTTCCTAACCTTTCAGTCATGTCAGTTTCAGTCTCTTAAATCAAAACAATGTCTGATTAAAAACCCTTCATTATTCAGTTTTGACTCCAGTTTTTTCTGCTCTGCTTTTTAAGTTCATCTGAATATTTTCTAGACAACCACAATGTAAAAAAAAGATGAGAATTTTGCGAGCCTTGGGTTGCAAACTGCCATATAATAACAGAGCTACATTTCTTAGCTCAGATGTTTTAAATAACCTCTGTTTTTGTTTTCTTGCAAATTTTCATATGTTGAATGTTTAGTACTTAGTACTTAAAATAAACCCCAACACTTGTTTTCTGGTGGAAAAAAGCAAATTCTCATCATTCAAGTGTCACTTTTGATGTCAGAGTTTGGAAGTTTTTTCTGGCTGCTGAGCG